AAGCAGTGGAGTTCTACAATGTTATCTGGATTATTTCCATGAACAAAATTATTAAGATAAGCAAAATGGGGCAGTTTGTCAAATAAAAATGACAAGAGTGATTAAACGTAGGGACCACAGTAAGTGAGTCCAGGTAGCTAGACTATCAAATATAGCTATTTTTTAAAATGGAGCTTGCATGAAGCCTATATACCGATTGATTCAAAGTCACATAACAGAGGAAAACAGCAAAAATCAACATCAAGTAAAAATAAATTATAACGTAAAAATGATAAGGCAGCCATGCTTGTTTGAAAATGAAATGTTATAAGAGGTGCAAAAATCCATCAGTGCTTCAAGAAGAAATAAAATACACAGGGTTTTCTTTGGAAAGTATAATACATAACTGCCATAATTTCCAACGCATTGTATATCATAGGTGTTTGTTGGTAATATATCAGAGACAGATTAAATAAAAACTCCATTAGGTTTCAACATACTGTAGAAAATGGACAGGTTCTGTTAAATATTACCCTAAAAGAACAAGTGCTGAGGGCTTGCAGCTTACACAATGTAATCATGGCTCCATATATTCTGTGGCATGCTGAACCAAACTTTATATCAAGAGAGTCCATGGCCTTATATTTTGTTGGTACATTTTTATGGGAGTACAAACTCCTGAAAAGTTTAGGTTTTCATCTAATCAAGTATTAAAAGAATCTATTTTCAATACTATATGAAAAATGGCAGAAATAGCTATTTATTAAAAAATGATACTCCTACATTAATGTTACTTTTAATATTTAATGCAATGAAGCACTTTTGGGAAAACATGTAAAACAAGTTACTGCTGTTGAAGAGATATTGTTTTACCCCCTGGTGTTAGTGTTACCAAGTTGTTTCAGCAAGACAGGTGACTGTAAGTGAAAACAAAGTGTTTAGGAACTTGGGCGAACAGTGATGTCAGTTTATTTTAAAATAGATTTCCCCTTGGTGTTTACAGACTGTGGCTTTCCTTCTTTGGGGATGGTTTGAGAACATTTTGTGTGACATCTAAGCCTATTGGACGTTGTTCTAATTCTGTGCCTGCTAAATATCTTTTGGGGAGAGTTTGTTGAAAGAAATGCATCAGCAGTTTTAACAAATTGTTCTGAGTACAGAGAAACTTGAAATATTTCCTTGAGATTTGGAATTGTGACAATAATTTGAAACTACAAAGTAAATGCAGCTTAAAGATGACGCCAATTAGTTTCTCTGTTCTCTCATTGCTCCGATCTACAAGAGTCACTCTACTTTCCTTCTTAAAAGGGAGGTTCTGTTTTGTTGGAAAAAAGATTCCATATCTGGAAAATTTATATTATAGTAGTGAGTGTTCATTGCTAGTAGTCAGTCCTCAAGATGACAAAATAGTTTGGAAGTGAGAAGTGTCAGAATAAAATGTGTGCTTGCCTATTTTGAACCAGGAGTGAGACACTTCCATGGCAGTACCTCACCAAGGCTGTTTTAACGCAGTGGTGGGCAGATTCCAAAATTAAATCTCTGATTTGAGAAACTCCCAACCTCTATTATGTTTTTGAAAGGTAAACTTAATTGTGTAGTCATTTGTAATACAATAACTTCAGTAAATTCCCCTTAGAAGATTTCCCCCAATTTTAAAGTCTGGCAGCAACATGAGGTTTTACCGAGAAAAAACATAACAAAAACCCAACCAAACAAAACCCACACACGCCACAAACAAAAAAAACCACGGCCAATAAATCCCACATCAAACTGCCTATGACACAGCCAAGCTGTGAATGTGAGCATTTTAAATGGCATGGACCAAATTAAGATGAAAGTCTGGCAGTATTGCAGTAAGAAGAAGTTTGAACATGAGATATAACAAAACAGAACTTGATTCTTAATAAATAATAATAATAAAATAATTCTCAAGGATTCAAAATGTATTTTATTACTTTATAATTTTATCATAATTTATGCTGTTGATTTCATTTTGCTTAATTTGGAAGTGGTAAATATATTTGGTTTGAGATTTTTGGTTCTTAATTATTTTCTACATTCTAAGAAACCTTCAGGCAAAGACCAATGACAATATTTTTTGCTACTTTCTCTTCTGTATCAGGATCTATAGAGCTAGATTGTGATGTTGATGTACGATTAGAAGCTGAGAGACATAACTTCCATTCTAAAGTACTCTTTTTCGTTAACATTTATGCTCCTTTGACATTCACTTTAGCTAGCTGCATGGTTTTATGAACACTGATAGTGTAAATAATTGATTCAGTACACAGAGAGCTTTATTTAACACATTTATTTCTTTAACAGGTGTATTTTATATTTGTAGTTAACCTGCATTGTGCTGAAGTTTTATTACTTAAAAATGTAATTCCTTTGAACAGCATTCAGATAATAAGCTTTAGTGCGTCTTAGTATGTATTTAGCTTTCAGTATGGAAAATGTATTTTTAAAGATCTTTGAAAAACTTTGGACCAAATTTTTTGTTGGCTTAAATTGGCAGTTTCATTTTCTAAGAGTCTCCTAGCAATACACTCTCAGTGCATAACAGACTTATAACAAAGGAAATCTATGTATTTTTGATGGAAGTTATAAAATCTCTGATTTTGAGAATAACAACCTGCCATCTATTAATTATCAAAACTGTGTTTTGTCACTTCATAGCGTAGTTGATATGTAACCTAGGAAGGAATGAAGTCATTATCTTGTTCCAGCCTTGGTGTTGTCTGAAACCATAGGGTTTTTTTTAGAATGAAAATTTAATTCAATACCATGACAGTGGTGGTGATAGGTGATAGGTAAATAGGTGACGAACACTTTGGGAGGTAGTTATTTCTGAAATCCTTTTTCCTATAAAATGATGACTAAGAGATAAGGCTGGCAAAAAGCTAAGTAAAAAATAATGCAATGATTATTTTTCTAAGTGCTTTGAAAGGGGTAAGAATGTTTGATTGTTGATGAATGAAATGTCTTCTTGTATTTGCAAAATGTGACTAAAATAAAGCACCACTTCTTTCTAGCTAAGTAACCTGAAACAAGTCACAGTTGTGGATGTGTCAGCAAACAAGTTCCATTCTATTCCAATTTGTGTACTCCGGATGTCTAATTTGCAGTGGTTGGATATTAGCAGCAACAACCTGAAAGATCTCCCAGAAGACATAGACAGGTAGTTTATGTTTTAATTTATTGACAGGCTTGTGAACTATAAAGCAAATCTAGAAAGTAATAAGCTTCCAAGGGATACCATTAATGAAAAATCACATGAGAAAATCACATTTGGAAATGCATCAGATAGTTTTACATGTAAGCTTTACCATTAATATTGATGGACTAGGTTGGAGAACAGAAACTACGTTTTCTAGCTCATTGATGGCAGATTGCAGAGTCAGTGCCTCTAGTGTTCAGTTAAGCAATCACATTTTCTGTTGCATTCATGATAATTAGTCATGATATCCAGGCATTATTATTTGGGAAGTTCACGGGGCATGCTCTGCAAAGTAGCGCGAAGTACAGGAGACTCACCATATGGAGTTGGCAGCAGTATCTTTCTGAAGGGAAGATGGAGTGGAGGGAAAGATATACTAAAGCGTATTGAAGTTACTGAAAGAATCTGATAAACTTTGGCAGAAAAGTAGAAAAATATTGGTAAGATTAAAAAAATCCTTCTCTCCAACTCTAAAGTATATATGCATGTGCACATGTATACTCGCACTCTCAATTTAGAGATCCACTAGTATTTGTATTTTTTAAAAAATCAGTCCTTTACTAGGACTTACTAGCCTGAGAAAGCACTCTTCTTATCCCTGGGCTTATTTATTGAATCTGGAGTCCTGTTGTAACTTGGTCTACAATGCTTTACATAGCTATAAGTTAACTAAAACACATAGTAACTAAAGTTTATTAAAAAAAAAAAAAAAGGATTCTTTATTGAACTAGGAATAGAGATCTCTGAGGCAGAAGAAACTTCACAGAAAACTTATTCAACCTTAACTTTCACAAGACCTTTGCTGCTGGGCAAAAAGACTTTTCTGGGACATTATGTAATCACAGATTCTCTGACAGCAGGGCTGAAGTCTTAATTTGTATTAGTAATTTACATACTCCAGCCACAACAGCATAAACCTGCTATTATTTTTTTTCCAGGAGATCTGAGTAGGGATTTTATTAACTTCAAATGGCTTCTAAGAGGATATTTTTATTTTCTGGAAGGATACCTACTCTAAGGTCATTTTTCCCCTGTAACCTATACATTATTCTTTATCTCCAAAATATTCCTTTTCCACATTTCATCTTCTCCATTTCCTACTGAGTTGCCAGCCTCGATACTGAAGCATCATAATCAGACACCACAAAATAAGGTTTTCTTTGTTTAACTTTGTGTTTTGAATTTTGAGATCTCTTGGGCTCATGTGCGTTACGAAAACTAGAAAATGTCAGGATATCGCCCCCCGGTAAACTGATACTCTTATTCAGACTCATGATTTCAATGCCCAAAGTGTTGAAGAACCTCAATGAACTACCATGAAGCCTGTGATTAAAAAAGACGAGTTGTTAGCAAACTGAAGCCTTAGTTGATATTTTTCCCTGAATTCAAACATACCACATGGGTCTGATAAGCAATAGCCTGCAACAGTGTTTTAGGAATGGACACTTCTGGTCAAATTAGACAAACTTGTTTCGTCTGTTTGCTATGCTTTTCATCTTCTATCTGCTCCAAGGAATAAACACTAAGCCACAAATTATGATTGCATTAGGAAAAGCCAGGGAAATAAAGCAAAAGCAGCCCAATGCCTTCCTCCACAAAGCACTATCATTAAATTGATTTCAGTGAGACAACTTGCAAGCACCAGGACCAGGAGCTGGTCTTTCTCCTGCTCCCCTCAGTGCTAATTACTAGTGAAAAACAATAGATGGGAATATACTGCCTAGCATGGATGTATCTAGTTCATGGAAACTATCAAATGGGCAAAGGTGTGAGCTGGCGACCTATATTTTTCATTAGTTCTGGGATACACATGGTGATGATTTATATCATATTCTGTCAACATCTTCTGTATGAAAGCACAGTAGTTTTTGGAACCTTTTGTCTTGGACATGCTTCTGAGTACTTGTCAGAGGTATGCTATTAATATCTATAATGTTTAACCATGGCTGGAAGCTTCCATTAAAGTTGATGACAATTTGTGAAAGTGTGGGAAGAGTAATTTTTGAGAAGCCAAAGATGGTGCATGTAATCGTTCTTCTTTTAAGCAAGATTAAGCCTGTATTGCTATTTTGGATAGATGTTCCTCTCTGTGATAAATATTTTAAGTTATCTTTATCTTTTACATTTTTACAGGTTAGATCAATTGCAGACGCTTCTCCTACAGAAAAATAAGTTGACTTACCTTCCACGAGCTCTGGTCAACATGCCAAAGCTCAGTTTGCTAGTTGTCAGTGGCGATGACCTGGTTGAGATACCCACAGCCGTCTGTGAGTCAACCACAGGTTTAAAGTAAGTAAAAATGAGAGAGAAAGGGATATGTTCTTAAGAAGATAAGGTAGATGCACCCAGGAGAAATACTTTCATAAGCATCAGTTTCTACCATACCTGGTAATCAAATTCTAACCCAATCTATGTCAGAGCCCTTGAGGAGGCACTAGTGAGACTGGAAATTGCTGAGGAGCCCCAGCTTTTTTATTTTCATCTTCCAGTTCCCCACAATGTGCATCTGTATGCCTAAACTGCTATTCCTATGTAGATTTGATTGTAGTAGCTCTAACGCTGGAGTCACAAAGCCATGCCCAAGAGTAGGACCAATAGTCTGGCAGTCAGCTGTTGATGAGCTCAGTGCTGTCAAAAACGTGCTACCTGGAGAAAGAGACATTGCTAGTTAAAAGGCCAAACGTAATTTTAGTAGTTCGCGCAGTCTTTTTTGTGAAATAGCACCTTGCTGCTGCATGCTGGATAAGACTAAGAGGTCTTTTAGTCTGTAATTACAATGATCTTGCATTTCTGCAGACCACGTTCACGTCTTTCATTATGAAACCATTTAAGACTCTATACTGAGTCTGGCTGGGGTGGCACATAGCAGTCCTTTGTAGCTAAAAAGGTGTTGGTAACACACCAAGATTTTTGACTACTGTGAGCAGTGCTGCCACAACATCAATGCTGTCTCTCCAACCCTTCCCCACAAAGGCCAGTAGGCTAAGGATAAGCATGAGATTGGAAGGGGACATAGCCAGGACAGCTGACTCAAACTGACCAAAGGCATATTCCGTATGATATGATGTCATGCTCAACATCAAAAGCTAAGAGAAAGGAGAAGGGAGGTGGGTCATTTGTTGTTAAGGTTTTTGTCTTCCAAAGCAACCACTACATGTACTGATTCTCTACTTCCCAGGAAGTGGCTGGATATTGCCTGTTGAGAAGTAGAAAATAATTTTTTTTTCTTTGCTTTGATTCGGTGCATGGCTTTTACTTTTCTTCATTCAGCTGTCTTATCTTGACCTATGAGTTTTTCATCTTATATTCCTCCTCTGTCCTGCTGAGGAGGAGTGAGAGAGCTGCTTGTTGGGCACCTGGCCAGCCAAGGTCAACCAACCACAGACTCACAGCAATTTATGAGATTTTAAAAAGTCTTATGATTTGTTGAAGCATTTGTTCTTTTGAAAGTAACAATTTTATTGATTTTTTTTTTCCTTCTTGGAGTGGTAATATCATGAGAGATTTTCACAATGCTGTGCACTTAATTTGCACGTTTAGTAAGTTGTTTATGTAACTATCTAGTTTTTTACCTCCAATGTGTAGCTTCAGAAAATTTGCAAATACGACATAATGCATGTCCAGTCATGCATTGTAAAAGACAAGTAACACAATAACAATCAAAAATGGAGATACATATTGTCGGCTAAGTGATACTGGCAAAATTCCAGATTGCTAGGCAATGTTTTTAGGATGGAGTCCATACTGCTCATTAACAGACGTGGAATTACGGTGTAGTCTGTCAGAAGTTCCATAATCAAGAAATGTATGTATTATTGCAAAGAATGATTTATGCAGGTAGGCAAAAAGAAAGAGATAAATCTGATCATTTTTATATAGAAAGTGGAGTATAGAGAAGATGCCATTTGAAAACTGCATTTCTAACTATAAAAGGACCCTAACAATGCCATAATGCAAAAATTGAGCAAATGTTACTTTACGTTTCCCCTTCAGGCTGCAGTAACAACACCTAAAACTTCATTCATGTTGGCCAGTGATGTTCAAAAGCCTGTTGAATATACTTTTGTGTTACTCTCTCTAGATTCGTAAGTCTCAAGGACAGCCCAGTTGAAACTATTGTATGTGAAGATACTGAAGAAATTGTAGAAAGTGAACGGGAACGGGAACAATTTGAGAAAGAGTTTATGAAAGCATATATTGAAGACCTAAAGGAAAGGGGTATGTGTTAACTTGCAGTAAACTTCCTGCTGTCTTGGATGTAACTGCAGACATACATTGGGAACATTAATTTTTAAAAGTACAGGCAATATATCCTTAAACTGTAGTTGTATATTATGGTATCAAATAAGACTAAACATGAAACTGTTGAATGTGTTTTGTTAAAAGTTTGGGCCCTTAATAAAACACTTGATATTGAACAAATGTATGCAAAATAATGGTGTGTTTGCACATGCATTAACCTTAATTCAACAATGCTGTATGCAATGATTATCCTCATTTTGCAGCTTTATTTACCTCTCTTGGGATTAGCATTAACGATTTTGGATTCCTGCAGAAGTGAGTGTTCCTCCTCGAAAAGAAACACAGTGTATATATGAAACGCTCTTTGCATTGATAGAACATTCTTTAACAGTGTATCTGTATCAATGCACTAATTTTAATCACTGCAGAAGTATTGTATTAAAACCTCTGCTTTTGCCTTTATTGCACAGCACCTGAAAGTTTGTGTATTACTGTATTTTGCTATTCTGTTTTATATTTACTGTAATTAAGTAACCATCAATCTCTTGAGTTTTGTTTAGTAAAAAGTGTTAGGAAACAAAAAGAAAATTTCCTGTGAGCCAAATTATCCTATAGGCTCTGTTTAAATCTCTTTGAGAGTTTGCGTGTAGAAACGAACATTTATGGAATTGATCTTACAGTATCTTTTCATTCATTCATTGCATGTAAATGGTCTATATAATGGTCCTACAAGATCTGGTAAAAGAGGAATGTAAAGAAAGGCCACAGGTTGTGGCTGCAGAATATTTTTCATGATCTGATACTGGGCAATTACTCCTTAATGTCGATAAGCTGCACAATTGAGTATTCAAGCCATCTACTTCTAAAGTGAAGCCTGCTATAAAAGTGCCAGATTCTGACACTGGTAGCAACAGTGATTAAAATGGAGAGAACGAATGGAGGAAAAACTGAGATAATAATTTGGGTTCAGAGATATTAATGAAATATGTAATGATGGAGTTGTATTTACATACTTGTGAAATACGGAGTCTGAGATAATGATAACCAAGCTGCCTGAAACCTACATTTGGCCCTGTCAAGCATGGGCCAGCTTTATAACCCTTTGGGGCAAAGCAACTCAGGGATACACTTCTCTGCTTTCCTAGACAAAACTGATCTCCATACTTTTTATGATGAGGCTGGACCATGAATCACTCTTGGATTTCCTTCTGAACTCTCGTGCTATAGATTATGCCCACACCTGCTTTAGAAAAGCAAACTGGAGAAGGAATAGCTTCTGTATAATACGAGCCAGTAGAATTTCTGAAAGATAGCACAGAGATCACTTGTAGAGTACCTTTGAAATAAAATCAAACCTAGCTATTTCTAGCTAAGGGCTCCATTTATCTGTGCTGGATTACCTGGCTGAAGTCTGAGATGTATTTCTTTTTTCTCTTTTCACAGATTCTACTCCTTCCTACACTACAAAAGTATTACTGAGTCTTCAGCTCTGAAGATCAAACATCTCTAAATCACTAGTGAATATCAGAATAACTCTATTTTTATCCACCTGAGTAGAAAACACTAGAGACCATAGATGGCCAGAAGCACTTCAAAATCATCATGAATTTTTTTATTTGTTACTGTAGCTGCTTCCAGAAACTACAGATAAAACAAAGCACAGTAGAGCCTTCACAAGATACTGTTTCACATTTTAAATCAACATATTTATTTTCAAGTCCACAGCAACAGCCACTAATTTGCATATAGACCTGCTGAAAGTAAATAGTCACTGTAATAAAGTATACACAGGCATAGATGCCCTCAGGATGAAGACATTGTGCATTGTAGTTGAAACAGTGGAACATAAATAATCTTAAAAAGAGATTTGATTTTATAAGACGGGAAGGATTAATTTAGAAAATGGATGCGATCTGTTGTAATCTTAAGACCAAATAACACAATTAGTTCTTTACAATATTTAAAGTGCGAACACATATCTAGCTGTTTGCATTTATTTTCTGTTCTTCAAGGAAATTTTCTTCCTTGGGGTTTTCAGTTTAAATTAATTTCAACAACTTTATACAGAGAAACTGTAGCAATTCTGTTGCTTTTTTTCAAGCATATTATGAGCTTTTACCTGTTCATAAATTCAAGTACCAATGTGGCTGAAACTTTTGTGTTAAGCAGTCTATAATATAAGAGTGTATTAAATAAGACTTTGAGGACAAAGCATCAGGAACAAAACTATCAGCAAAATGATGATAAAGGTCTTCTACTAATGGTTTCAGATTGGAGCATTTTGTGGAAAATTATTGGAATTTTCTAAGTTGTATAAGAATGAGTTCACTGGATAAAATATTATATTGCTTGCTATTTAATAATCTGTGTATGTATAATTATGTAAGTGTACATACTGTAGAGTTTCAGAAACCTAGATTTACATATTGTTTTGTTTAATAAATCAATACTTTTTAATCTAAAAAGACTTGAGAGTTTGAGAATTTAGACTCAAATTAGAGAATTTAAATAGTCCTAAACTTCTGAGTGCAGTTAAAGGAAATGGTATTTACATCTTACTTTTTATTACAGATAAGCTGTGTTCAGTTTTGTGCAGTTGAGTGCCACTTAAGTCAGTCAGTCATATTTAAAAAGCAGAGCAACAAACGATGTGTTCCTCTAGAATTCCATATAAAAAAATACTTCTTTTGATGTTTTCTTTCCTTTTTACCTTTTTAGCATTAATTCTTTTGAAAGAAGAGAATTTGTAAATAGTAGGTGTGTTATTTATCTCAGTCACAAACTCCTGCAGTTATATTACTATCCAAAATGAAACCCTCTGATTTGGTCTTTGGGTATTAATGCAGATTTTAAGTAAGTACTGGAGCAAAGACAAAGTTTCAAAAAACTGCAAGAAAACTTGACGTTGATCTGAAACAGAATAATGGAAGATCTGTTTTTTTTTCTGTTTGTTTGTTTGTTTTTTATTTCAAAGACCAAACTTTCTTTCAGTGAAATTATGAATTTGGTTATTAAGTATTGATATTGATACAATAAACTTCTGTAAGACATCTGATTTGGCATTGTTTGAAATTTCGAGAATTCTATTATAGTCTAATATGATCCACTGAAAAGTGTACAAATGGAAATCACAACTGCTGTATTTAAAGAATGGAGACATCCATTATGGGAGTCGTAAATTTAAGAAAAAACTTGAGGTGCAAACACAATTAACTAAACAAAAGTTCTCAGTGCAAATTCTAGTGTCAGAATTGTTGGATATGTAAACAGAAGGTACTTGAACAAAGAATTTGTATTAATGCTTATAACACTGATGCTAATCTTATTTGAAAGATTTCTGCTGTTCACAGATAAGAGTGATGTAGATAAACGGGGGAACATTCAGAAGAAAGCCAACAGCACAAATAGAAAACATGCATTTTTAAGTTTTTTGAACAGTGAATAAGGCCATTTACTTGTCATGTTTATCAATGAAAAATGACAGTCTAGAAACAGGATTTTTTACTGCAGCAGACAAATGTAAGGCAGAAAACTAAAACTCGAATTCACACGTTTGATAGAAACAAAAGGCCTGTTCTTCAGTAAGGGTAAACATTAGACAACTCACAAAACACTGATAAATTCTGGGTCACAAACAATCTTCAAACCCAGGTTACCATTTTCCCTAAAAAATTGCTGTGACAATTAAGCCATGGAAAATAGAAGGTCTATAGTATACAGGGGACCAAACTAGTGTTACTCGACTTTAACGTCCAATGGGTAATGTCAGCTGTCACTGAAAGTCTTAATTTCAGCATAACTGAATTTGAGTTCTACTTCTATGTCCTGTACAGCAAAAATACTGTGAGAACATACTTATGACATGCTGTTAAATATAATTTCATTGTTGTCATCCATTGCAGTATAAAATCTATGTGTCAAAAGACACCTCTTTTTGAATTTGGTCGAATTTTATTGGCTTTCTACTCAACCTGGTTTACTAGTAATTTTACTTTAAACTTTTATCTTTCAGTAAAAAACAACACTTCCAGAGAAGAGAATTCTGTCATTGGCATGTTGCATACTTTCTTTTCAATTTTTGAAGGAGAATGATTTTATGAACCAAAGGGATAGTGTGTACTAATGGCAATTTACGCTATTTCAAACTGCTGATGTCAGATACTTAGATACCTAAAGGAAAGCAATGTGTCTTTTCTTCCAAGCTGCAAAATCAACATGCATGTGTTGTGTACAGCATTTTATTGAGTGTGACTAGCTGCCAGATACTATACTTCCTAAACCTCAACTCTTTCCTTCGGTTTCGCAAGTAGTCACTATTCAAAAGCAGCAAGACAGGCAGCAATTGAAGTATGTGTTATAAAATACTCACTGGCTCAATGTGCAAAAGTAAATCAGATAATTACCTTTCATTGTATTACTTTTCCTTGTTCTGCATTGATTTGACCTTGTTTTTAAGGATAGCAAAGTATAAGCTGGGAAGATAGACTCACAATGAAAGCAAATAACCTGAAATTTAATTAATGAATACCTAGGAATAACATAGTCTTGCATTAGACATTGGTTTAAAATTTACAGTTGACACTGGGCAATGCATTCTTTTTTTCCCCTTGAATATTTACATACCATTAGAACTGTTTTGCTGTGTTTATTTTCTTCAAAGGAAACATCGAGCAAAATGATAAACAGGGAATGCTCTTTTCTTGATGTTACGACTTGATTTCAGTAGCTGCTAGGTTCTGGTTTGTGAAGGATTTCTGTACAGATTATCACCTGCTTCACAGAGGATGGAAAGATATTGGAAAGCAGTGTGTTTTTTTTCTGATTTTGAGGCCTCATTTGAACTAGTCTTAATAAATAGCAGAACTGTAGTTCAGCGTAATTCTGGTTATGCTCCTCTTGGGTAACCTTTCTACATATGGAGCAGTTGAGGAAGGATCTCCTCTCTTTCAGTAGCTGAATCTGCTACTTGTGCTGGTTCCAGCTGTGACTATATTCTATCCTATGGCCCGCTATCTTCTTCACTTCACTGGTCCGTTAACAGCTATGGGTGCTGCTTAGTGTAAACAGGCGATCTGCATGGTGTTTTCTTTATGTGTCAACTGGCATTAATGTGAAAGGATCATTACTATCTCTTACATCTCCCTGGAACTTTCTGTTTTCTTATTGCCAACTGCAACATAACTACTTGAGGTTTAGCAAAATCTTAGTCAAGATGCATTTTATATCTAAAAAGCAACTACATCTTAAACATATAGCCTCTGCTAAGTTCAGAGTTTCTATTTTCCGCTAATGCTTCCAGCCTTTTCCTAAAATCAGCAGTGACATTTCTAAAGAATTTGAATTAGCTGTCAAAACATAGTGAATAGGATCTGTAAGGAAGGATATAATCTCAAGGAACTAAAAATCAGTTTCAGGCTATACAAGAACAGTGTTTGAATCCAGATTTCATATACAGCATTACATTTTCTTTTTCATTCATTATATAGGTCCAGACAAGTTGAGGCTGAGTCAGCCTTTGGCCCTGTGTATTATGTAATGACTTAATATGTTTAGAAAAAACATAAGCCTTAAGCTGACAAATACATGTGGTGCTCCTCTGAGCTACTATTGCTACTGTCTATGCCTTGGACTGATCGGATTTTTTGTGAGTACACTAGTTGCAGTGTTTTGCATAGAGGAACACAAGAACATATTTCTTTCAGACTTCCTACAGGTTTATGAATGGCATGAAAGCTTAATCAATGTTTCATTTTTATTCTGTCTTTACCGGTTTAAAAAATTGCAGTGAAATCTCAACTGTGGTATGCGTATAACTTTCTGTCAAGACAAATATTTGAAAATAAGTTGGTCCTAAGTTTGTTGTGGTCCTGCCCTGGCCCCAGGGAGGTAGAGCACGTCAGCTGTCTGCTCTGAGTGCATTCAGAGAAGGTGAGTTCAGTGGTTAGAGATTGGCAACTGCAGGAACCATGAGTGGCAACACTTGATATGACAAGGTAGCTAAAGGACATTGAACTTTCATTTTTAAAAAATGTAAATCTGGTTTTGTTTTTGCATTCTGAAGACCTCCATATCACCAGAGTTCCTTTCTCTATAGTTATGGAAGCTGTACATCAAAGCACATGTTGGCGTTAAGGCAGCACATGATTTCACAAATGAGGGTTTAAAGAAAGCAATAGAATTTTAGTTGCAGTACAGTGACCATTTACAATACTGCAATATGGCTGAAAATTATTAGGATATATCTGCTTTTATGCTATAGGTAGGCTTTGCACATATTAGAAGATCTGATTATAGGAAAACTTCTGCCCAGAAGATGTCCTGTATTTTCTTTTCCTCTTTGGACTACTGTAAGGTTATACTGCATTAAGCCAAACTATCTGGAGCTTTCAGACTCAGG